GTTTTGGCACCAGTAAATGGTTTCATGGAAGACACTTTTTCCACAGATGGCAGGGGGATGTTTTTGAGATGATTCAACCACATTACATTTATTGTGCATTTTATTTCTATTATTATATTATACTATATAATGAAATAATTTTACAACTCACCATAATGTAGAATCAGTGGGTGCCCTGAGCTTGTTTTCCTGCAACTAAATGGACCCATCTGGGGGTGATGGGAGACAGTGACAGATCATCAGGCATTAGATTCTCATAAGGAGCATGCAACCTAGATCTTTTGTGTGTGCAGTTCACAATAGGGTTCTCGCTCCTGTGAGAATCTAATGTCACTACTGATCTCACAGGAGATCGAGCTTGGGTGGTAATGCAAGAAATAGGGAGCAGCTATAAATACAGATGAAGCTTCACCTGCTCCTGCTTGCTCAGGCCAGCTGCTCACCTCCTGCTGTGCAGCCTGTTTCCTAACAGTTACTGGTGTGGGATCCCTGATGTGGAGGGACAACAAAAGTAGATCTGAAAAAGTATTAAAGATTCAGCACAATAGGAGGTAGTTGGGTATACTAAGGAGAAAGGTAAGAAATATTGAGATAGTACAGGTAGCAGGCAGAGCTCATTGCAGGGTCATTTTCTGTAGTGTGTTACTTGATAACTACTGTGAAGAAATTAAAGTTCATTCTTACAAGAAAACATAAGAGAGGAAGTTTGAGTTCCAGATGATTTGTAAATTGTAGTTATTAATTCCCACATTGTGATGCTCTGAGTGCTAAGGACAGTTGATTAGCAGCAAGTTAGCTCTAGGCCTGGGTCCTACTCGCCAGGTGACTTGAAAGAGTCATTTCACCTTCCTGAAATGCTTTTCTATTATTCCTTATAATGTGATATCTACCAAGTATATGAACTAATGCTTTTAGAGTATTATAAATTAAGACTGAGGCCAGTAAATTCCCAGTCAGCAGGTTATTGTACTATTAGAAAGTTAAGTGAACAGTTAGTTTCATAATGACTTCAGGGAAGAATAAAAAAGAATAAAAAATAAATCCTTTTGAGGGGTGCGGTGTAAGTCTGCATAGTAGGACAGGGGGAAAAAACCATCAGACAACCTGTATTTATAAAAGAAAATGTGTAAAGAAAACTAGATATGGTGTTAAACAAAGTTGTTGCAAAAATGATTCTTTTTCCTTATAGAATAATGGATAAAATTAAAATTATATGTGAAAAATATAACCATAATGAGATTACGAGAGATTACGTCTTCCTGGGAACCTTTCCAATTTTCTACTCCTTAAGACAGGCAGAAAGAATTCAATGATAAGGGCTGCAGGGGCAGCTACTATGGCTCCTGTGCCCCTCACAGCACTGAATGGGGCCCATTCAATACTTGTTGGTTCATTGATTTTTCTAAAGGTCTTTTTACGTTGTTCCCTCTCCAACAACATGTATTGCCAACAAACAAAATTTTGAAATAAAATTACCCTTAGGGTTCTGGATATTGCTTCTTCATTTTTACCAGTCATTGCTTTTAAGATCTCTTCATTCTGACATGTGACATCTGTGGGTGGGGAGGTTACAGGAGTACCGCTCCCTGCCTTCAAGAAAAACAGGAGTGAAATCAATGTATTTTTACTTTTTTGGATTGATCTTCAGATTACATCTCACTATTGTCATAGATTTGAGTTTCGTGAATTTGTATTGCTAAGACTTCATAACAATAGATTTAAAGGATAATTGTAAAAATGAAATTCTAATTTCTTCTAACACTCTAATTATTAACTAGCTTACATTTTATGTTTATAGATTTTTTACCCTTTCCTTCTTCTCATTTTTAAAAATGACTTTCTGTTGCCCTTCAGAATATTATTTGAGCATCATAGTTCTCCATTTCTGCATTCCACTTAGTCTTAGACAAGTCAGAAGTTTAGTTTTCTTAGCAGGAAAACAGAATGCAAATCCCCAATGTTGATAGAATATGAGAAGTCGTGAAGATGGGGAAACATTGGTCAGGGTTTTTACATATACATATATTTTCCCCCCTCTGAACCTTTTTTATTTGATTCCACCTGAAGAAATAGTTTGATCAAATAATGAGGAAAAGGACTGAGTGCAGTGGCTCATGCTTGTAATCCCAGCACTTTGGGAAACCTAGGTGGGCGGATCACTTGAGGTCAGAAGTTAGAGACCAGCCTGATCAACATGGTGAAACCTTGTCTCTACTGAAAATAAGTAGAGTTATTAAAAAATTAGCCAGGCGTGGTGGGTCACGGCTGTAATCCCAGCCACTCAAGAGGCCGAGGCAGGAGAATTGCTTGATCCCGGGAGGCAGAGGTTGCATTGAGTGGAGATTGTGCCACTGCACTCCGACCTGGGCGACAGAGTGAGACTCTGCCTTAAAAAAAGAAAAATAACCCTTCTGCTATTATCATAGATTCCAAGATTTAGATCTTGGAACATTAACCTTAAATGGTATTTTGTTGTTAAATAAAAAGGGCAACCATTTGGCCTAGGGGTCATCATATGGCTAAATAGTGAACTAAAGACAGGCACCATCTCCAGGTGACCTTTCAAGTTCCTTTCCCACTCAATAATTTTGTTCATTAAAATACATTTACTCAATAATAGTCAAATACTGATTTATCTAAACTTGGAAGAAAGAACATTAGGAAAAGGACATCTAATTTTTTTTAAAGTGTCGTTCAAAGCTTTGTTTTTAGGTTACTTTCCTGACTTTGCCTTGTCAGGGATTTTCATGAACTCGTAGCACTTTGTTCTGCATTACATCATAGACTTACTCTGTCTTTTCAAGGTACCTGTCCCTAGTGCCAGATACACTCATTATTCATACAAATCTAGGTTATATTTTTCTAGGAGAATTAATTACTTTATGCTGGCTACATATGGTTAGCTTGTCAGCAGGAAAGCTTTAACATATTTTGGGGTGGTATAATGTAGGCATTTAAGCAGTCTCTTTTTTCTTCTGTGCATGAAAATAGTAGTACATTAATATATATTAGAATTAATATATTTTGTAATACAAATGTTTTGCATAGAATACTGGATAATTTCTTCTCATATTTATTGCAAGTATCTGACTTCATAATCATGAGTAATGGCAGTTACTGAAAACAGAGATGCTATGAGCCCGTTAGACACCTTTAGAATGGCCATAACTACAGGTGCTACACGTGAGTGCTCTTTTGTACGTCTGACTGCTCTAAAGGACATATTACGTGTAACAGAGCATTACTCATGTTACCAATGTCATATGAACATCTTCCTTTTGCAATGGTTAAGGATAAAAAAAATCCAGGCAAGTGAACCCATCTGGAGACGTATATTTTAAGACAAAAGTCTTTGTGATAAGTGATCACTGCTTTAAAAGAACAATTCATGCCCAGTAAGAACCAATATTCTAATAGTGCATCTCTTTGTCTCTTTATAACTTTTATATCGCTTACACTTACTCTATAAACTTTTAATGATGTTTCTTCTTTTTTTTTTTTGGTCCTTGTTGAGCTTACATTCTTTCTTTTTCCTAGACAGTGGATTATGAAGACATTCCTTAAAGTGCCTTGTAAAGGAGACTTCTTATTAATAACTACATTAATTGAGCTCTTAGAATCTTGATTGTATACACATAACCATTTAACTTGGCAAGGGGCTGGGGAGAAAGCTAAGTATAAATTAGATATTGATATTATTTGAAAATGGAACTCTTCATTCACTATAAGGCTTTGGTCTATATGAAAATACTCTCTCAGAGTTGTGTACAAAGAACTAATTGCTCAATTTTTGTCAGGTGAGTAAGCTGAGTTATGTTAAGTCATTAAGGCAGTGTCTATAAAATACTGGAGTCTAATAAGCCTTTGTCTAGTATACTTTAAGTAACGGTCATTATTATATTATGAACTGATAGCTTTCTGTGTCCCAAACAATCATGATTTTCATTATATTTGGCACCCTACAGGCTTCATATAGCATTGTTTTTTAGCCTTTCCTTTACAGTCTGTGACTAAGAGAAACAGTCCCTATTTTAACCTGTCTCTGCTTTTTTTCTGACCTTGCCTTAACCTGCTTTTGATATTTACAATAGTCGAAGTTCAACAATTTTACTATTACTGCCCCTTCAGTGCATTTTAAGTCCTGAATCCCTAATACGTTTGGTCAAGGAATTCGTATCTAGCTTAATATGTGGTATATCTTCAGCCTACACCTAATTGATTATTTCTTGCATGTGTGTTGATATAACACAGGAGTAAGGATAAAGGCAGGAACTTGCCCCTTTGTTCTTTTAGACATCTCCAGTCCCCCACATTCCCAATAGAGAAACCCAGAGTCCCAGACAGGGTTAACTTGGCATGTGATAGATTTGTGGGTTTGCACTGCTTCTGCGGTTCTGCTACTCCCATGTTTCCTAACTCTGATTCTGCTAATTTAGTATGTGTCAGGAGTCATTCTACTTTCCTGTGTTTCTGAAGAAAGTCAATTTAGTACAAATTGGGACCTATTTACTCTCCCTCTATCTAACACATACTGTTAGTCAGCAGGGTTTCTGAGGACAGCAGTTGCTATTTGAAGAAAACAAACCCTCTTTAGACTTTTCTGAATATGTTTTAAACATGACCCAGTATATTGCAGTATTGAACAAAAATTATTCAAAATAATGACATGAATGCCTTGTAATTTGTGGCCTATGTATCCTGTTACCTTTTTAGAATTTAGTTTAAAAAATGCTTACTTTATTGCTTAATTAAACATTATCATTTAATTAAAGCTTCCTTTTCATTGAGCATCCAAATTGTTAATTTGGGTTTTGAGGGATGACTCTGGATTCCTTACAAAAACAAGCAGGGCTTTTCTCTCTTCCTGCTATCAGTTTTGGGAGACATATTGCTTCTTCGGTACTGTCATACCAATAAATCATCCCAGATTACTTGCAGTCATACAGTACTAAAGTATACCATGCATTTTAAAGGAAATCTGCTGTTTTCTTTTCAATCAGATGAGCAATGTGAAGAGACTACGGCCACGGCTCAGTGCTATTCTCTTTAAGCTTCAGTTTGAAGAGCAGGTGAACAACATCAAACCTGACATCATGGCTGTCAGTACTGCCTGCGAAGAGATAAAGAAGAGCAAAAGCTTTAGCAAGTTGCTGGAACTTGTATTGCTAATGGGAAACTACATGAATGCTGGCTCCCGGAATGCTCAAACCTTCGGATTTAACCTTAGCTCTCTCTGTAAAGTGAGTTTGTTTTTTAAAAACACATATTTGCCTGAACACTTGCTCTTAAATGTCAGCCCTGATTACATTATTTAAATATTTTTTATTTTGATGTGCTCATTATCAAGAACTTGAACTGAACCATGAACTCAAACCCAGAGTGAACTGAGCTAATTTACTCAACCTCTGAACTAAATCCAAATACTAATTTTCTTCAATCTGTAAATCCAACTCAAGGATTTTATTTAATAACAAAATTATATCATAAATCTATGCTTTCTCAAACCAATGAAATGGAACATCAAAATATTATTAATACTGACTCATACTTACTCAGTTCAGATACCTGTATATATATTGAATATTGCTTAGGATTGCCATTAACATTTTTACCTTTTAACTATTTAAATATTTCTCTGCATTGCTTTCAAAAGCAGACTAAAAGGAGAGAAAACTGAGACGCCTTTATATAAAGGGGAAATTATTATTTTGGAAATACATGCAACTCAGATATCATTGATTTTGAAGTGTTTCTATCTAAATATAATTGTAGAGGACATGAAAATAGAGTAAGTTTAGAGCCTTTTTTTCCTTCTGTGTTTTTCATAGGTTGAATTTCCTTACAGCAAATATATTCAATGTTTTGTAAAACAGAGCTCTTTCCTGAGGAGTGGGCCATAGTAATAGGGCTTTATTGATCTGCTTGCAACAAATTCTTCTTAGTTACACATCACAAGAAAACCGTTTTCTTGTTCTTGACCTCATGACAACTACACTCCCTGATTAAGGAATTTGATTATTGCTATTGCCAGTTAGGTAGGGAAGGTGAAAAACAAGTTCAGCTTTACCTATAGGTTTACTGCATGAAATTTCTTGTACAATTTCCCTGGCCTAAGCCTTTCATTTCTGTCAATGCCTTGTGAGTGTTGCCCTTGCCCCATCTCCATTCTTTTATTTTCCTCTCTGTTTTCTTAGGCAGCTATATTTGGTGAAGATCGCTAGCATGGGCGATACAATTCCTAAAACACATCCTGAAGACGTGGCACATCTATCCTGGGCTTACTCAGAGTGAAGTCCTGTGCCAGATGCTTTGCCAGATTCTTTCTTTAATGTATGTGATTAATATTTACCTGGCATACATGATACTCATATTTTCCACATGTAAACCATTAATTATGATTAAATGCTTTAATGAAGCCATATATAAAAAGTATGACAGCAGAGTTTAGACAGAGAGCCTAGCTCAGCCATGAGAGGGTAGTTAGGTATTCAGAGAGAAATGGGAATTTAAACTGGATCTTGAAGGATGAGCAGATGTTCTGTGAGAGGAAAAGGCATTTAAGCAAGAGTCAGCAGCTTCCATAAGGGTTATAGCACGGCATGTGTGAGTACAGTGAGTGGCCTACTACGTGTGCAAACTAGATGGGAAAGGAGTGGGGCTAATGAGACTGAGGTGGAAGTTGGTCTAGATTGTAAAGAGCTTTGAATATCCTGCTTAATGATGGGGATTTTATGGAGACACATTCTGTAAGGCAAGTAATATGATCAGATGTTTTGTAGCAAGATATGTCTATCAGCAGTATAGAAAAAGATTAAGCTGCACTGTTTAGTACTGTTGCCATTAAACATATATGGCTACTTAAATTCAAATTAGTTGAAATGTAAATAAAATTAAAAACATAGTTTCTCAGTCACACTCGCCACATGTCAAGTGCTCAGTGTCCATACCCATTGGCAGCATATATATGGCACATTACCATCATTGCATGAAGTTCTATTGGACAGCGCTGGGTTAGAGGGTTACAGTGAGGAGGTATTTGGTATTTGACTGACATGTAGTGTGAGACCTAAGAGAGCAACAGAGGAAACCAAACTGAGAAGGTAATAGGAAGGATGGTATGGGAGATGGCAGAGAAGAGAGAAAGGTCAAAGATAATTCCTAATTGTCTACCTTAGGCAACTAATGGGAGATATTGCTACTGGCATGTTTGAAGTGATTGCTCAAAGGAGAGTAAGATCGGGGTTTTTTGTTGTTATTCTACTCTTGTTTACCTCAGTATCTTAAAGGGCATATAATTGAAGCTTCCTTTTTAAATTATTTGGCAAAGGTTTGAGTGTCCACTAAGTTAACTATCATTGTGCTTTGAGATGATGGAGTTCCAAGCTAAGGTAACGGCAGAGGGGTTTGAGGTAGAATGTAGTGGGGATATAGGGAAGTATACAAATTCAGGGACATATGAGGAATTGTCAGGGTGTGCTGGTTATGAACTTGGAAGCTGAAGGAGAAGGAGGCAAGCAAGAATGGCAGATTCAGGCTTTCCCTGAAAAGGAAGGCAAAGTAAGAAAAACAGGGTGGGGGGTAAGATAGGGGAAAGTTAAGTCCACAGCCACACGTGTACTACAGTCTGTTTCCTCGTGCAGAAGTGTCTGTGATCCTCTTTAAGTTTTACATCTCAGAACTATAGTTGACTCACAAAAAAACTGGCTGCATGCTCTTCCTCATGTCCTTATGCCTTCTTCTAAGGAAAGCTGTTGACAGGAGACTAGGTCTGATTACTGAGGTAAGATAGCCTACTACAGTGGTTGGTATATAGTAAGTACTCAATAAATAGCTTGAATGAATGAAATTTATTGTCATAAGACAAAAAGTAGTGTCTTATGTTTATTTTGTAGTTGAAAATAAATAGACATCCTCTCATTGAGATACAATCGCTGATGCATAGTAATTTTAAAATCTTTTACAAATGTACCGTAGCTGTTATTATTTTACTACAGTTAGTTGGCAAACCAGTTAATCTGTCTGCAGATAAAGAGTTGACTTTATTTTCATGCAATGATACTAAGTATTTTGATCATCCCTCTTAGGAGCCTTCTGTTGTGGAAGAAACAAAATAAATACTACAACTTCATGTTTTTTATTAGCCTACATGTCAAGTTGAAAGCATATATTGAACAAGATGATATCTCATCATATTTGTTATCAGAAGTAGCAGCTTGATCTTTGACAATTGTGATTGAATTTTCACACTGAGTATAAAGCATTTGGTTTGATGATAAGCTCCTACACAAGGAATTCCATATATATTTGACAGTAGAAAGACAGGGAAGTATTTTAATCTGTTAAAACATGCTGGGTAATTATATGACATTTAACATTTTATATCCCAAATCCTTACTTTTAAATGCCCTTTACAAATTTAACTCAAGTATGAAAAATTCATGAAAATTCATATTAAATTAACTTTGCATTGTTTAGAAATAAGAGCATGAATACTTGAGTTTCATGCCCATTATACTTTAGTCTGGGGAGCTGTATCGTAGCTTTGTAGACATTTGTAGTCAGGATGGCAATAAGTAACTATAATATCTCTGGATTCAGAGAGAAAAAGATTTACTTTCTTATATCCCAAAGATTTGATGTGGCATATGACAAAAAAGTAAAATATGACATATAAGGTAAATATAACTGAATTTATGATTAAGATCTAAATAAAAATTAAAGTTGCTGTATAGGTGCTTGACTTTTTGGTGATCAAAGTGATGCAAAGACTTCACTTCATGAGCAAAAACAGTGTTTTCCCTGATTAAACCTTCATAAGAAATTTTGCATATGTATCTTTACAAAAGGAAAACATGTTGAATAGTGTTATAAACAACAAATGAGTCAGTTTCATCAGAATCTTTTTTTTTAGAACCATCTCCCTCTCTCCTCCTCTCTTCCCCTCTCCCCCAAAATATGTATTCTGGGCCTCTTAAGGACCTGGCACCTCATGCGAACCCTCATGATGAGAAACAAGGTGTACGTTTCGGTCATAGTAATGCTACTTCTAGTTTAGCTAAAATAGTATAAGTACCTTGTTTTCTGATGGCTTGACTTTTTAAAAGGATAAACCTTGTAGAAATAATGGAGAACTGCTTGTCATTAAAAAATCCTCCAAATGTAGTACTGAACTTTAGATTAAAAAAAATGTATAATAGGCATTTTGAGATTATATTAATTTTGAGAGTGGGGGGACTGCTGTTGATTAAGTGGAAAACATATCTTTAGAAATTAAATTGGCAGATGGTAGATGTTTATCTGACCAACATGCCGACCTAGAAAAGTTTGTATCTGGTTGGTGTCAAAGATATTTCTCCAAGAGACGTGTTGATAGGGCCAAGTTCGTTTTTTTCAAAGGATTTTAGGTAAAGAGTGAATTGACCCCACCATCAAAGTTCAACATCATATTAAAATATATGAGATAATTTTGACTGGTAAATTTAAGAAGCAGATGTTACTAATCCACATATAATAGCTATAACATGTTTTTAATAATGTTTACTAATATCTAATAAGATGTATAATTTCTGAGTAACAGATCATTCTGATCAGTACAACAAGGTGATGCAGCTCTTTGTTCCAGGTGATTAAATCAACTGACTTCCTATATTGGGGTAATAGATACAAATTTTGAAGGAGTTTATCACATGTAATAACTAATTTTTATTAGTATTTATGCTGTTATTCTTTGGGAAAATTGCAGAAACAAGTAACTATTGATCCCACTTTAAATTTATCCATACTGTCACTTTGTAGGAAGCCTTCTGTTTTCTGTGGCAGTAGAATATCTAATGAGTTCATCTCAAAGTTGAAGTCATCGAAGAATACATGGTAATGGGGCTATGGGTGTTGAGGATTAGGTGCTAAGACGGTGAGGGGGTGACAGACAAAATTACTTTTTCCTAAATTCTCTTTTCTAATGCATGAATTTTTTATATGATTCTGGATATTCCCTTTATAAGCAAAAAGTGGAAAAAGTAGAATAACTCCACCAGAGTTGTGATGGGGATAATTAAAACAACATAAACAACAACAAACATTGAATTCTCATGTTCTTTAATGTTTCCACCAAGCCTAATGAGACTCTTTCCAAAATTGTGACAAATCTCTTTCGGATGACATTGATTAGCAACCTGGAGTACCCTTTAAGAAATACTGATGCCGCAGTCCCCACACAGTTCAATTAACTTAGAAAAAGAAT